GTTCTTTAACAGCAAATAACCATTCCAAAATGATTTTTTCGAAAACAATCGTCTTATAGGACAGCATTTTGTTTATTGATTGATGTAGATACACAGACGATGGGAAAGAAAGTATTTTGTCACAAGTAGAACGCATCATAGACAGCGGAAATTAGGAGATAAAAAAAGGATAGAAGAAACTCTTGATTGCCAAAAAAGGTTGGTGAATGCAGCCTACCTTTTCATCGGGTTGTACGTTACTGTCGATCCAAGCAAACGCGATGGGCTTCCGCAGTCGGACACTATATGAAGCTGATGTGATCTGGCCTATTCGCTGAAAATACGACAGATTACACCACAAAAGAACTAAAACAAATTCAATCTTGCACTACCTCCTCATGTCCTTGGCGACGAATGACTTCATGACCACGAGGAATATGATCCCACTCCAACTGAATATCAGGGTTATCAGCAGGATCAAAAGTGAGAAGTGCAAGCCGGCGGTCGAACTTCATTTTGCTTTGTTCAAGTGCTGCCTCCTTCCCGATAAAGTCATCCTTGCTAAGGTCAACGAGCGCTGAAATAAAATTGATTATATTTGCCACGAAGATAGAGCTAAATCATTACCTTCAAGGCCACATTCATAGGGGTTCGTGTCCAAAGTAAGTTCCCTTCCCCAAACTTTATAGCCATGTTCAAGCCTCATTATATTCCATGTAGCCTGACCGAAGTTCACTATGCCATGAGGGGCACCAACATCGAGTATTTCCTGAGATAAATTTAAAGCATTTTTGAACAAAGCAGGGTTATCGTTAGCCTACCTGATAGAGCTTGGCAGAATCAGCTCTGTCATGGAACAATTCATAGCTCAGCTGCCCAGTCGATGTCGAGCTACGAACGCAGACAATAGATATCGTTCCTATGCGAATATGGCCAACGGAATGTTGCGGAAAACCTTCTTCGGATACGTCGCTCTTAGTAAGCTCAGAGAGTATCTAGAAAGTGACTGCTGCGGAAAAGCAGTGATTTTATCAGTTAAGAGAGATTACCTGTCTGCTGTTGGGACCCACAAGAGCTATAGACGCCAGATATTCTGACACGCAGTTCACTTGTACATCGAGCTTCTTTTCAGCGGCAGCGCGTCGAAGCCTCAACAGAAACTACAGAGGTTACCGGCTTTCATTCACTTCGAAATCACAAAATAGAGCAAAATCGTAAATATTTTAGTGAAATCAGTTTTTACTTTCACTTGAGATAGATAGCAGTTCATTTTTTGGAAAGAGCTTACCAGTAAATATCTCTATTCTCTCGTTCCGGCTCGGTCAGCACCAAAAAGTTAGATCGTGTGTTGTCATGATGGAAAACGTGAAGCGGCCCCAGTATACGTCCCTCTCGAGTGAGCATCAAGCCAGAGCGAATCTTACCGAGCGCAGGGATCTAAATAAAAAAAGTTCGAAACGGCGC